CGGGAGTGCGGCGGACAGGGAAACGACCTCCGTGGTCAAGACGGTACAGACAGAAGATGGCGGGAGAAGACAAGACATGTCCACATATAAATCCATATCAAAGTTTATTAAATCCCCAGAGTCCTTCTGTAGCCCACCCTCAGCGGTGGTTCAGTGGGCGTGGCTCTTCACCCAGCCTTCGCGCTCCTTTGTTTCATCCACCGGCGCATGCTCAGTTGCCGGCTCTCGCACCTGGTCAGAAGTCATATGAGGCTCTGGCTCCGGGGCGATCCTCAGCTCTGTCGCTGTCTTTGGCGATGGCTCGTTGGTCGCGGTGGGCTCTGGCTGTCCGTCTGCGGTGGGCTCAGTCTTTGGCTCCGCGCAGTGGGGTGATGGTGGGCTGGGCTCTGGGTCTGAAGTGGGACTGGTGTCGTCGTCCGCGATGCCTACAGTCAGCGGTGATCCACAGGACACTAGCACCCACTCCACAAAGGCGGCGAAATTCCCCCGAGGACCATCTCCGGACAACCTCCGCTCTGCACTCGTCATTCAGGCTGGTCTTGTAGAAAATGCAGAGGCAGTAGTCCGGGTAGTGGGTATGGTTGGCGATTTCCAGGAATAGTCTCGTATGATCCCCGAGGGAAAGGTACTAAACGTACTTAAGTATTGAAAGTAAAAGTACAAGTTAACATAAAACGTTGAATACTGATATTTGAAATGAATGATTTAAAACATGAAAAAAAAAATAGTCGAAATGTGAAATTAAAATCGCCAGTAGGTGGCAGCAAGTGACTGTTAATGAGTGAGATATGTCGTAAAAACTATATAATTATCTCGTTAAAACGACATCTTTTCTCGTAATAACGAGATGTTTTCTCTTTAAAACGACATATTTTCTCGTAATAACGAGATATGTCGTAAAAACGATATAATTATCTCGTTTAAACGACATCTTTTCTCGTTAAAACGACATATATATTTCTCGTAATACCGACATATTATGTCATAAAAACGATATGTTTTCCCGTTATTATAGATATATGGTAGGCTATATCACGAATTAAATAAACACAAATTTGTTTTCGATTGTTTTATTTAAGTAGACCTTTAGACATAACAAGGTGCGCCAGAAAGCGCTCCCTGTTATTTTACAAAAGCAATTTGTAACGTTTTGTTGTTATTGTGGAAGTATAGAAAATAAAGCAGACATTTCTTTCCTCTGTTATCACAATGTAGCCTAAGGGATCGCGCCGGTGCCGCCGAACTGAGAAGAGCACTGTTGTGCTTTATATGAGATGTATATTTGCAAGAAATATAGCCTATACAACAGCCAGACAGTTTGAAGAAACTTTGTGACTAATTTGCAGAGCGGTACATGAGATGAACTCTTATTCTGTGTGATGGGATAGGCAGTAAAGACAGGCTGAGAGAAAAAGTGGAGTTTTTAGGGCCGCCCACGCACAAATAGCAAGCTCATTTTTTAACCCACGAACAAAAAATACGACAAATCTAGCTTACTTTTCGTTTGCGAGTCACTTAGCTCGCTCACACATAGCCTACCATATATCTATAATAACGGGAAAACATAGTTTTTAATGACATAATATGTCCTTATTACGAGAAAAGATGTCGTTTTAACGAGAAAACATCTCGTTATTACAACATAATTGAGTGGGAAAAAAATATGTGTGTGGGAGCAATGCGTCACCGTATAAAGGAGTCATGGGTCTGAGTGCAGTTATTGGATAGCACTATATTGTAGACAGATTGGAGATTAATCCTAATAAACATGCCGCTACAATTAAAACATTACATTAAAATACATTTAAAACAGTGTATTTCAATAATTTCAGCAGCGTGCAGATCCTCGTTTATGTCAGACTGTGGCGACAGCAGCGCGGACAGTCGCTTAGCTCGCTCACATATAGCCTACCGTATATCTATAATGGAAAAACATATAATTTTTATGACATAATATGTCGTCCGTAATTACAAGAAAAAATATGTAATTTTAACGAAAAAAGATGTCGTTTTAACGAGATAATTATATAGTTTTTACGACATCTCGTTATTACAAGAAAATATGTCGTTTTAACAAGAAAACATCTCATATTACGAGAAAAGGTGTCGTTTTAACAAGAAAACATCTCGTTATTATGAGAAAATATGTTGTCTCAAAATAATGATCTTTTTAGCAACTTAATATGACCCCTTTAAAATAGTGTATTTCAATAATTTCAGCAGCGTGCAGATCCTCGTTTATGTCAGACTGTGGCGACAGCAGCGCGGACAGTCGCTTAACTTGCTCACATATAGCCTACCATATATCTATAATAACGGGAAAACATATCGTTTTTATGTCATATGTCATTATTACGAGAAAAAAATATGTAGTTTTAACCAGAAAAGATGTTGTTTTAACGAGATAATTATGATAATTATTAAAAAGCTGATGAATTCAATAAGTAAACACCATTGCTCAAAGACGCAAAACAGTGCTGTGATTGCAAGTCTAATGGATTTTTGCACTGCCCCATTCTTCAATAACAGCCTGTTTGCACCTATTTGTTTTGTCTTTTGTCTTTCTGAATATTCCGGGATTGTTCTGGATATGCAGAATGGAAGGTAGTACACACCCAGCACAATGTTTGATGCACTATCATACATTTTCCGTTTTAGTTTGTCAGTAACTGGTGTTTGGAAATAACATTATCTGTCATGTTTAATCCTTATGGATGGGCCAAGTTTCTAAACACCAAATAGGCGTTGTTGATGTGTAAAAGTGGGCGGTCATATGCTAATGCTGTAGGTGTGCAATATTGACAAAAAATGATACTTCAATGATAATTAGACAGTGCTTTGTGTGACTGGTTTCAGCCTGTCCTGAACAGATGATTCCCAAAACTTTTCATATTCTTCATATTGTGTGCAGTGGTTAGTTCACAGCAGTGACAGAATAAACTTTTTCATTAAGGGCGGTATTTCCTACCTTAAATAGATTTCCTGGGGTGTTTTTACCTTTGTAAGAGCAATTTTGTTTGGAACTATTTTCGTTGGCAAAATTGAGCAAAAACAGGCAATATTGCGTCTAAAATGTAAGTCACTTATTGCTAACTTTATTGAACTTGTATAAAATTATTATAAAATTTGTTATGCTGATATCTGCAGAAAAACTGTACTCGTGTGATATATTGTTAACTATATTAAATTATATAAATATAAAAAGCATACAGAAGCATTTTGCCATATACAATTTAGACTGCCTTGAATTTTGAGTTTTAATAGAATAATAAATCACGTGCGTGCACTCTCTGTGTGTGATTTGGTGATATACTTGATAACGTCAGATCGAACATCATTACAACAACACTTACCATATTATCGCAGAAGATATACTGTATATCGCACACCCAGACTTGACTTGAGTGAAAAAAACGAATCATCCGCGGTTGTGCGTGCACTTGTTTGCACATGAGCAATGGTGTTTTTTAAGAGTCTAACTTGCAGACCCCAGACCACTGATTCGTCAAACCTGCTTTCCTGCAGTCCATGTTCTTCTGACTTCTGACTATTTTGTAGTAAGTAACGAATATGCTTTGGGGAAATGTATCGGAGTAAAAGTATACATTTTAATTAGGAAATGTAGTGGAGTAAAAGTAAAAGTTGGCTGAAATATACAAGTACAGATACTCCCAAAAACTACTTAAGTACTGTAACAAAGTATTATTACTTCGTTACATTACACCACTGGGTTTTAGTCAAATTTTCGTCATGCTGTATAATGGTTTAACTGATCAAAATTATTTTAGCTCAAAATTATAATCTTAATGATTGTTGTCATTTGAGAAATTTACTTTTGCATTTCAGGTATTGCACTTTCTCCAGTAAGCACAAATCAATAGAATGTGGACTCATATGGTGTATTTTACCTCATCTAGTGTACTGCTTTATTATAGGCTTTTTATTATATAAATTAATACCAAATACTGCAATGCAATCTCTCTGTCTACACTATGAAAACTGCTAAAACAAACGAAAAATATTATAACAGTGTAATTGCACTAATTCCAAATGGCAATAGCCTATTTCTCTATTAAAACAACAGCGGTTGAGTAAGTGCATTCATTCAGTAACCACAATCGCAAACAATACAGTCGAGATCTCTTGACAGAACACAGACCGGCTGAATGAGACTTTCATTTAGATCGCTAAACTCCAGCTTGTTTGTCGGTCTTTTCAGGTCATACAGGCGTACGCATGTTTGCCAGATTGCTTAAAATAAGCAAAACATCGGGCAGAAAATGTATGCTTGTAACAGCGAAGCTCTTGATATCTGGCAACCGCACTCATGAAAGCTTGCGTAGTAGAGGCGTGTAGAGTAGTCTGCAATAACATTTTGTCTCCTTTTTGACGAAAATAAAAAGAGGTTTTTGATAAAGTTTTTGTCTTTTTTGAATACATTTTAATCTCGTCTTATTTCGTCGCCGAAATTGCATGTAGATATAGTCTTAGTTATCGTTTATTGACCTTATTGTCACCTCGTCTTCGTCTCGTCATGGGAAAAAAGCTCGTCAACGAACATTTTTCGTCATAGTCTTCGTTAACAAAATTAACACTAGCTTGGACCCAGAAACAGTATTTATTATAATATAATTCTTTATTATATCTTGCAGATATATTATGCTACATGCAGATGAATGTGTAGTACAGGAATTTAATATAATATTGATATGAGCTCAAACAGCACACTATCACAACACCAAGGTCATGAGTTTGATTCCCAGGGAATGCATGAACTGATACGGAATTAACATTTTGAATGCGAAATTAGAAAAGAATTTCTTGATCTGGTAAGCTCTAATCTCATTGGCTGACTTTTGGCAGTAAGAGTGCACCCATGTTTGTGTCAGTTGCTTTACAAGTATGCGTTTATGGGCCAGAACAAGTTGCAGTGTGGACAAGACTACTGTATGATTCTGAGCCCAGTTGTCCAATAATGTCCCTTTCTCTTCCCGATATAGAACTGGCTGCCGTGGAGGGTACATAACAGGAGAAGAAGTTGCTGCAGGATGAAAACATGGCTGCACCCCTTCTTGCACCGCCAGGACCTGACAGCTTCAAATACTTTACCAGGGAATCTCTGTGTGAAATTGAGAAGCGCATTGCTGAGGAGAAAGCCAAGCCGCCACCTAAACCAGACAGCAGCTACCGCGACGATGACGACGAGAACAAGCCCAAGCCTAACGGTGACCTGGAGGTGGGCAAGAGTCTGCCCTTCATCTATGGGGACATCCCTCCTGGAATGGTGGCAACACCATTGGAGGATCTCGATCACTTCTACATGAATAAGAAAGTGAGTGTGTCATCATGTCTGTTCATAAGTCCTGAAAAGCTGGCCTTCACACGTTATCTTCTAAGCAGTGCACTATGGATCGTTATAGAAGTGGAGAAAATTATGTGTTTTTCCCCAACTTTTCCAGGTCATTTATTGTTATTCTCTTATATGCGAAACCTCAGGTGGTGACATGCAGCTGTCGGATTTACTTGGTAAACATGACAATGTGAATAACATCCTTCAGTAATCCACTATAGTGCAGAAGAATTTGTTTGTGGCTTATGTATGTTGTAGATTGTGTATGAGATGATGCTTAAAAAAGGTTTGTAGAGGAGGTCTGCAGTGGTCTGCTGAAGCTTTACAGTTCCATCTGACAGACTCGTTTTAATTGTTCCAGTAATAATCCTTTAGAAATGAACAGCCAAAAGAAACGCTCCAGTGCATTTAAAGGAACCGTGCAGCATATTAGAACAGCTCTCTGAGTAGAGGGACAAGCAGTGTTGGGGAGTAACTAGTTACATGTAACGGCGTTATGTAATTTAATTACAAAATAAAAGTAACTGTAATCAGTTACAGTTACTAAGAAAAAATGTGTAATTAAATTACAGTTACTTATGAAAATGTTAACGATTACAAAGGGGGTTACATTTGAATATTTACACACATCCACATACAGACTTAATTGATTTCTTTCCCAAATTGCACTGATTACTCTGAGACATACGGCCCTATAATTTCCGCGATGCGGAAAACACAGACTGGTTCGTAGAATCCAGTCATAAAAACGGAATTCCTAGCCTAACGCGACGGTATATGCCACATTTTGGACGAATAAATCGAAAGTAGGTCAGTACACTTGAATCAAAACGCAATATGGACTAGTGTCTGTGAATATTAAACCGCAAAAAGACAATATATGAATCCTGCACATCTGCGTGTCTGTGGAAATCAGGCCATCGGGAGAACCGGGACTGTTCCCGGTGGCTTGGCAGCAAATTTGGCCCGCTATTTTAATATTATTATTATATAGTTGCCTGCCGAATGTACTAAAGCGATTATTTCCGAATTCGCTATTCGATAATTAAATCTCTAATAAATCATGAATCGGTTAGTTACTTTAATAAAGTAATTGAAAAAGTTACACTACTATTACATTTTAAATAGGGTAACTTGTAATCTGTAACCTCTTACATTTCCAAAGTAACCTTCCCAACACTGAGGACAAGGATAGTTAAGGCTATTTAAAGATCTATAATGTTGTTGTGTGAGGTTTTGGTGAAATCAGTATTTGGTAGTCTTTAGTGTTGCTATGTGTACGTGAAGATAGAAAAAATATGAGAACAAAAGCGAGAACTACTTCTCTACAATATATTCCACATCTAACCAAAATGTAGACTCCCCTTCAAAAGTTTGGGTTCGGTAAGATTTTTTTAAGCGATTTCATTGTAAAAGAAGTCCATTATGCTGACCAAAACTGCATTTATTTGATCAAAAATACAGTAAAATTTTAATATTTTGAAATTTGATTACAATTTAAAACAAATTCTGTTATAATTCTGTTTTGTTTTAATTAATTGTGTTTTAATATAATTTAAAATGTAATTTATTCCTGTGATGGCAAAGCTGAATTTTAAGCAGCAATTACTCCAGGTTTCAGTGTCACATGATCCTGTTTAATATGCTGATTTAGTACTAAAAAAAAAACATTTTCATCGTTAAAAAACAGTTTTGTTGTTGTTGTTGTTGTTGTTGTTGAATAGAAACTTCAAATGTTTCAAATATTATGTAACATTATAAATGTTTTTACTGTCACTTAAAATAATTGTTTTATTCAGCAAAAGTATTTAAATGTTTAAACATTAGTGTAGATCCATGTTATGGACAGAATTTGCTGGGTCCAGTCAGAGCTCACAATTAATGGTTAATCTATTGCATTTTGCCTAATATTATAACATCATGCTGTGTGTTTATTAGTATTTCTGAACTGTATGCCGACCTCTGACTATTTTGATTTCCAAGAACTGGCTTTTATCATTTATGAGTGAAGCCTCCAAGCTAAAAGTATGAGACCACATTAAAAATCTGGAGCTCAAAATTTAAACCTGGAAACGTTTTAGGTGTTTGAAATTTAAAACAAGTAGTAATTGTCATGATGTAACATGCATATGAATTTTTTTTAACTCTAAACCTCCACTGAAGCTCAAGACGATCTTTGGATCATTCACAAATCGTGCTAAAGGTTCTACACAGTCTTGTGGAGTAAAAACCAAATACCACAGCATTTTATAATTGCACATTTTTCAACCTTTCATTTAAAATACTGTGCAGTTAGTATGTGGTGAAAAATGCTGTGAATATAATAAAAGTGCAGCATTTTGTGCTCTTAAGACTTTTTAATGAATGCACAGTTTCTTGATATGTTACCAGTCATAAAACAGTGGCTTGTTTTTTATGTTAAAAATAAGCAATATCAGATGCAAGCTATTCCTCAAACAGATTTTCAGGAGTGAGTTGTTGTTATGAGATGTAGCCTACGGGTGGAAGATGAGGTCATCTTTTCTGTCTGAGTCGTAATGGAGCCCAGCAGGCTCAGATCTGCGTTCCTGTTTGGCTCAGCGCTAAATGCAGTGGTGAGACTTTAGCCGTGTCTGCCACACTGGACTTCACTAAATAATGCACAGACTCGTTTGTGTGTTAATGTGTGCATGTGTTGAAGCGTTTCCCTGCCTCCCTCTCTTGCTCGCTCCCTCCGTCTCATTCCTCTGCCTCCCTCTCATGCAGCACACACTGTCTGTTATGTAACCGCCTGCTCCATGAAAACCTCATGGAGGAGCGTTTGTGAAAGTGGTGTTAAGGAACGTAATTGTGTTCTGAACCGAATTCATTTTTATTGTAAACATCGCTCACATTAGACCGTATATTAGAATTTTTAAATATTTAGATGCATCACGTTTATATGCACATGCCATATTGTACGTAATGTCGAACTATCCTGCAGTCTCGAGGATTTAATGGCTCTTTGATTGTAAGCTTTGCTAGCATTGGGATCAGATCTCCCCGCATCCCATTGTCCTTTTGTTTCCACACGCTAGGCTCGACTTGCAGCCTGCAGCAGTAGTGAAACCTGATTCTTGAGGCTCAGGGCAGCTCTCTTCATAGTGTAAAACCAGCTGAGAAATGGGAGCTGGCAGCTTTTAAATCCAGACCCGTGACACTATCAGAAGCAATTAGCCTAGGAAGCTTTGCTACAGGAGCAGCTGATGAACCCCGAGTCCTCCAGCACAGATGATTCAAGGAGATGGTTATACAGTGCAGTATGTTGAAAACAAATCAATTGTGAGATTGAGAGGCTTAACAGGATTTACCCAAGTAGGACATGTTGGATCTACATTCTTCTGGTTCTTGAACAACATTGATTTATATTTATGCATTTATAAAATTACTTTTTCCAGTGTGATTTACGGTGCATGCAAGGTATGCAGTTAATTAGTAAGTGTGATCCCTGGGAATCAGGTTTGTGCTCTGACTGTTTGATAGGATTGTTGTTGATCCAGGAACATGTTCTGCTTGAGTAAAGGGCTTGTAGAAAGGGGAGACAGAAGAAGACAGACAGAGAGGCAAAGCTCCATACGGGGTCATAAATCTTAGAAGGGGCTCTTCAAAATGTGCCATGTAGGACCATTGCTTCCCCCTGTGATGACGCAGCACTCCGAGTGGGCTTGTCTGGGCTGGTTGGGGGGCTGGGGAAGGCAGGGTGCTGCACTGCTTCAGTATAATGGCCGTCTCACTTCTCCCTCACATCTGTTCACAGCCTCAGCACTCTCAATAGCTCATCTTATAATGTAGGCATCTCATTTGTTTCTGTTAGCTACATGCCTCAGTACATATGCTGTAAATGGCTACATGCAGGAACAAGCCTGTACATTTTTCTCTGTGCTTTATTAAAAGATAAATGTGACCCTGGACCACAAAAATAAGAGTACATTTTTTGAAATTGAAATTTATACATCATCTGAAAGCTGAATAAAGGGTTATTCAGGGTTCCATTTATGTATGGTTTGTTAGGATATGACAATATTTGGCTGAGATACAACTATTTGAAAATCTGGAATCTGAGGATGCCAAAAAATCAAAATATTGAGAAAATCGACTTTAAAGGAGTCATATTATGCATTTTCAAGTTTTCCTTTCTCTTTGGAGTGTTACAAGCTCTAAGCAATGCATATTACTTATCAAAAATTAAGTTTTGATATATTTACGGTAGGAAATTTACTAAATATCTTCATGGAACATGATCTTTACTTAATATCCTAATGATTTTTGGCCCATACAATGTATTGTTGGATATTGCTACAAATATACCCATGCTACTTATGATGACTGGTTTTGTGGTCCAGGGTCACAAATATAATACAGTAATTCTTTTAATTTTAATAAACATAATTAAATCACAGGTTTGAAAGTGAAGCTATTTGAAAATATTTTATAATGTTTGAAATTAAATGTTACAGAATGAACAGAGCTTGACCTTGGATTGAAGTTTCTATTGATGTGGCTAATGCTGAATTATTGGCTCTGAATCTTCTCACTCTTTTCATTCATCAGTTGCTGCTCTGCTCGTCACGCTCCTTTACATTAGTCACCGTCTCTGTCATTTATGTTTCTTCATGTTTCTCTCCTCCCCATGTGTCCTGCCACAGGTGTGGTCTGTGCTTCACCTGCATCTTTTTTTTCCTGTTCACTTGGCATCATCCTGTAACATGATCTCTCTCTCTCTCTCTCTCTCTCTCTCATTTTCTGTATGTGTCATTCTCCCTGATGTTTTGAAGCCTCAGTTGGAATATTATAATAAATAAATGTAATAATTTTAGTTTCTGAATAATATTTTTAACCTACCATATTGCAGTGTCTAGTAGTGTTGTCAAAAGACCCGGTATTCCGGTACCAAGTCGGTACTAAAAAAAATGAAAACGTTACGGTACCAGGTTTTCTTAAGTACCGGTGGTACCGAGTACCCGGTCAACCCGGTTCTTGATGCGCTTATCCGACAGCTATCCTCTTCCAGTGTTGCCAAGTCTGCGGTTTTCCCACGGAATTGGGCTGCTTTAACACTGTTGCCGCGGGTTGTTTTTCATGTCCGCGGGTTGAAAAACGACCCCACTAACGTGATATTTAGCCCCGGAATGTGAAGTTTACCAGGGGAACCCCGCCAAAACACGCGTATTTTATCCCCGGAACGCGATTTTTAACGGGGACCCCTCGAAATGAGATTGTGCGGGTTTTGTTGTGAAAACATGGCAACCACTTCATAAACGCAGTGGAGACCTCAAGAGGAGGAAACGCAATTTTAAATAAGTATAAAGAATGACATTGGTTTTGTACATTTAATTTTTGTTTAACATTATTAATAAAAATGTTGTTCAATTAGCATGCTTTTGTGTTTTGCTTTGGTACTGAGAACCGTGGATTTTTACTGGTATCGGTACCGAATACTGAAATTTTGGTACCGTGACAACACTAGTGTCTAGTAATAACAGCATTATTTAGCAAAAATGTGTACATTTTATCTTGATTTACATTTATTTTATATATTTTTTTTAACTGAACATATTGCAATTTCTAGTTAGAGACATCTCTTGTATGGAAATATGTTGGCAAGTATGAAGTTTATTTATTTATTTTAAATCAGGCATTGGCCATCCAGCCATTATTTTATCAAAATTCTGTAACTTTTTATGAATTTAACTGAGATTGTATTAATTTAATTTCTTATTTTTATGAACAAATGCTATATCATGGTGCATTTCCATCAGTATTATTTTCCCCCTTGTTTCTTTATTACCTTAGCTGCTGATTTGAAGGACATTTGTCCGAGGGGTTTTTATTCAGTGCTCAAGGCTGTGTCCAGTTTTACAGCTTTTTTATAGCTTCTGTTCTCTTTTTTTTGTGTTTCCCTTTGACTTTTAATTGTCTTTCTTGTTGCCCCATTCGTTCTCCATCTTCCTCCCTTCCTCTCACTGCTTACTCATTCCTCTCTGGGCTGTCTTTCTCTGCCTCTTTATCTCTCTCTATGTCTTTTTTCTTCTCCATTCTGGATTATGAAATTTTCAGTAGCTGTGCAGCCTGTCATGCATTAAAAAGAGGAAACCCACATGCACTTCTGTTGTGTGTGCGCCTGTACTACAGCAAGCAAATACTGAGAAAGGGCAAATGTATTTTTGTTCATATCGGCACCACTTCTGCATTATTTTTTCATCTCATGTTTCATATGCGGTTGAGTATGGGCTGCTGGTTTGAATGAGTCTTCTCCTGTTTTGTCCCCACAGCATGCAGCTTTTGAACCCTGATGTCACACACGCTGTTGATGTTGCTGAGCAGTGAGCAGATCTTTTTTTTTTTTGACTAAGCAGGTCCCAGTATGTAGTTTACATGGTGGCCTGATTCAGTCTGACCCAAATAGATGCAGCTCTTTTCCATCTTTAGTTACTTATACAAAGTGTTATTTACTGAGCTGTGCTTCTTTAACCTAATTTGTCATTGTGGATCATATTATGTATATACATTCTTCTGAGGAGTTTCTGCATGTAAAGTGCAGATGATGATGATATGGTGCTGCATAGATTGGCACTCTCCATGGTGCTGAAGAGGGTTTTTTTAGTGTTCCACTAAACTCAAGCATGTAAAAGGAAGTGCAGGGGTGCATCCCATCTCTGCAAATGTACGCCACCTCCCATAAAACTTTGATGGTAGCGAACATATTTTATTTAAACAATTATGAGGTTGTCTACTGAAAGGCTGGTGAGCTTACGCTGACTCGTTCATGGGCTCATATAAATTCAGACTTTTCAGATTCAGTCAGTGATGAGAAGTGAGGTATCCGGGTAAAACCAGGATATATGATATATATATATTTTAACGAACAGTTTATTGAATCTTTAGACAAAATATTTTTTTTAAAGTTTGCATATGTGTTTTAAGTTTTATCAGGATTTTATTGCTATTATTGTATGATATAGTGAGAATACGGACCTCGCATTCCAGGAGGAAAAAAATCTTTATTTTTTTCATAGGCCCAAACTGAACAAAAATATACAAATTGTTGCATATGTTATGTTGTTATTTAAATGATGAAAAAGTCAGGTGAATTTTCTGCGGCTTGTAAATCAGTGATATTTTTATAGCAGTATAGCAGACAGATATAAAATATGCATATTAAAATGCATAGAAATATCAGCTGTCATGCTATTGCTCTCAATAATATTAGTAAGATAAAATTTTAATGCTTAGTTTTATTATCAAACCTCTGTCGTTTTAATTGTGGGGGCAAAACTGATGATTGAGAGATATGCAAATACATGTTCTCCAAAAGCTTTTATTATGATACATTTTAACACAAAAAAATGATGTGTGGATAATCAAGTAAACTTAAGTTGCTTCAGACCAGCTTATTGAAATATTACTAACAATATCAAAGTTATTCTCTCGTTTACTTTCACAGCAAAAAGATGTGTGCAAACCTTTTAGAATTCTGCTAAAAGTTTAAACGTATGAAATATCAGAGGACAGAAGGCATGTAGTAAATTGTGTAACAGGTTTTTCAGCAGTTTTGATCATGCTGATAATTTAGAGGCCTTAGAAATTTATGTATCAAATATTCAGTGGACTTTGTAAGGTTAATTAGCCTGTATGTGTATTTCTTTAGGCAAAATGGCCTAATGAGTCACTAATGCTTCTCCAAATTCTCTGGTGTGCTCTGCTATTTTCAGTTGTTTAGTCACAGCTCAGGGAAGATCATTTTCTACATATGTGGTAAATTCTATTGTATGTTATAGTTACGAAACAGAATTTAGTACTGTTTCTTTATTCCCAATCCTATATGTGACTTTAATATTGTTTACACTTTCCACCATTATTTGGTATTTCAAGGGTTAATGATTAAGTGAAAATGTCAACATTTACTCACCCTCGTGTGAAAACTGTCTTTTTCCAACTTTTGACTGAAAACAAAAAGATTTAATTGAATGAATATCTGCTTGGGTGATTTCATTACAATGGCAGTACATTGTGATTTAATAAAGCAAGCAGGAGTGTCAGCAAATAAGTACAAACGGCTTACTTATAATTTGGTTTTGGTTAACAATAACCCAATATTTAAGCTATCTTAACAGTAAAATTGTGGTGGACACAGTGGACACTACGGCTGCAATGGTTCAACTTACGGTCCGTTTGTATCACGGTTTAAGAGTCGGTACGGTTCAGTATGTGCTATGTTTAGGGAAAAGATTATGCTGTCAAATAAAAAATAAAGAAAATAAACAATATAACTACAAGCAACAGCACAAATAAACACAATAGAGCAAAGATACAAATTATATAAACAGTGTTTTTCAGGTTTTTTTTAGGTAGGTCTAACATTAATTTTTAAGTACAGAAATTGAATAAAGTATTCAAATGTAAAATAACATTGCATATTTGACTGTGTAAATTAAAGATGAATCTTTATTAAAGTTACAAACGCAATTTAATCAAGAGCAGTGAGTGATTTCTTTGTTGTTGCTGTTCGATTAATATTAAGAAATTGCCGTCACTTTAAGAGAATGCACTGATCCAGTGTCTGCTATAGGATATTTACCAAGACGGGCATTTTGACATCATTTTTGTGTGAATTTGTCCATTCAAGGACAAAACTTGAAAGAGAACTCAATATTTGCGTGCCCTCATTGGATGAGTGCACACACAAATCTTCTCACGGCGCGCACGAGTTCTCATTCGCGTCTTCTGGCTCTTCAAATTTTAAACTGGCAAGGCTTAAATGAGTTTAGTTTAAACAGAGATAGCAACGTGTGCTGTTCAGATCTCACCTGTGCATTCGCACTATCAACACCCGGGCGATGATGGCATAAATGACTGGTATTCGAGCATACGGCACTCGCACTGAACAAAGTGTCTGGTTGTACAGGTTTTTTGTTTGTTTGTTTGTTTGTTTTTTTGGGTTCATCGCTGTTTTTGTAGTGCATTTGGAAGCCAGAATGCGAATACTGTTAGGCGAACAGATATTTATAACATTACAGATGTGTTGTCAGAATTAAGTTGAACCTCTGTGCAAGTGCGTGTTGAACCGTGGGTGGAGAACGGTATGGTTTGATTTTTTACTGAGAACCGTTACACCCCTAGTGGATACCAGTCCAGTAGGTGGCAGAAATGCCACTCTTACATTGCTATTTAGAAAAGGCAGAATTTGATGACAGACTTTTCATTATTTCAATGTATTATTTGTTTCTTGTAAAACTATTTGAGATTTTCTTTTAAAGGCGCTATATACAATAAAATGTATTATTATTATTCATTGTTGGGTGAATTAATCCTTCAAGCGTCCCGCAGCCTCATTCTTATGTTCAAATTACAGCCGTGCTGCTATTCAGATCGCTGTGTTGGACTAAATAGCAGCGCTCTCAACCAGTCAAATTCGAGAACCGGAACTAGCTGTTGTATAAAGATTGTTATATAATCTTTAAACTTTATTGTACTCCGGAAACAGTATGGATGTTTTGCATACAGACTTGTGGATTTACTTTCTTCTTGCCAAAGAATGTGATTTTAATTATTTAGTAATATATAAAGCAGTATGTCTTCATTATGATGCCTTGTCCTCTAGAAACAGACGTAGGCTTTCAGTATGCGATTATTACTTCTTAAAGTCCAGTTGAATAAGTGATGATGTTTCTCTCTGCTTGCAACTAATCTGATGTTTCTCTTTCTCTTTGTTGTTCTGTCTTTGTCTTCTCTCTGGCTTGTTCTCTTTTTCCTCTCCACAGACATTTATAGTCCTAAATAAAGGGAAAACAATCTTCCGCTTTAGTGCCACACCTTCCTTGTACATGATAAGCCCTTTTAATCTCGCTAGGCGAATAGCGATTAAAATTTTGATACATTCATATCCTTTTTCAGCTGTTAAAATGTATGTGATTAATGTCTATGTTGTCTCTCTCTACATCAAATATGTAACATGTCTGCTTATCGCTAAAGTGCATGCGATGGTCAGGAATAACGCTATAAATGCAGACTAATATGTTGTAGTTAAGCAGTGTGTTCTAGTGTGGGACTGTAACAGCGTATCAGTGGGTGTGGATGTAGGTGTGAATTTTAGATGCACGGCAACTGTTTTGTTTGACAGTAGAGATGCCAAATAGAGAGAGAAAATGGTGGAGCTCTGTCGCCTGTTTTTAGCACACTGTGTCCTGTTTTGATGCTGGAACCCATGGCTAAGGACATCTAGTTGAGTGGTCATATGCCATGCAGAAGCAGTCTCCCTATTGGCCAATACAGCACAATTTAAAAATGTGCTGTCTTTCTGACCAAATAGTGGCATTTGTTTTATTCCGATTGTGATGTCAGTCATGCCACATTAACTCTCAGTTCATTGATCAAATATTTACAGGCAGAGGCATTGCTGTTAATATTGAGCTGAATGGAAACAATCATTTTCAAACACATAGGCTACCACAAAAATTTGAACTGCTATTCCCTGTCCTCTGAGGACTAATTTGATGGTTAATGTGGTTGTAGTCCAAACAAAAACATTTTAACTGCCTACATAAATGACACAAATGAGCTGAAAACTCCCTGTTATGATGTAAGCACTAGGGCTGGGTGATGTATTAAATATTCACAATTCATTAATGTTTTTTGTGAATATTTTAATTATTCAAACTTGTTATTTGTTGTTACAGTATAAGATATACTGTATAAATGAACATGATTAAACATCAATCTCTGTTCATTTAGTGGCAAACATGGAAAACATGTCTTTATCTTTAAGTTAAAGGGGTCATAGGATGCTAATTTCACTTTTACATGTTGTTTGAACATAAATGTGTGTTGGTAGTGTGTACACATCTACCCTATAATGATAAAAATCCACCCAGGGGTTTTATTTAATCCCTAAAAATAATATCCCCTTTTTCAAATCAGGCCGTTCTCAGCTTCTTGTCTGTGTGACGTCACACGGACGAAGGCCGCTCCCACGATAGTTGATTGACAATGCCGTCTTACCCTAGACCCGCCCTGAGTGAGCTGTAACAGTCCGACTGCCATTATTTCGACGCCAGAGCAGATGTAGACAAGAATGGCTCCATAGCTATTGAGGTGTTCTGTTGTTGGATGTAATAATGAACATAGCAGTCATCATTTACTTCTGACATCTGAGCCGCTGAAGACGCAGTGGATTACCTTTGTTTGTGAAGGGAATGCGCCCCTATCTACCTAAATGCATTTATGTTCGCGCGAATCATTCGTGATCCAGCTTCACTTACAGCAGAAGTGAGTATAAGGTATTTTTTATGAATATTTGCAATCGCTGTTCCTAATAACGTGCTACTTAGCCAGTTTCGTGGCTAAATGCGGCTTCGTCACCCCACAGAAGAGAGGGGCGGGGGCAGCAGAGCTCATTAGCATTTAAAGCAACATGCAAAAAATGGGTTGATTTCTGCAGAGCTGATTTTGACAAGGTAAAAACGGTGTTTTTTACACTACCATTGAGAAATTTTAACCAAAGTATGTTATAGACTTTTCATTAAGACCCTAAAGAATCATATCAACTTGTGGAAAATGGGCATCCGATGGCCCCTTTAAGGTATTACGTATTTAATTTGTTAATATTAAATTTTGTTAAATAATTTTGTCTGATACTGTATGCAAAATTATAACTCTTGCATTAAAGATTTTTATCTACTTTGCAACAATGGCTGTTTAGATGAATACATAAAATATATATCAAGTATCAAATAATAAGCTAAAAATATTGAAATATAAATATTGCCTAGCCCTAGCAGTGCTTTACAACTAGCCAAAATTCACCATTTTCTGTCAGTATTTGGCATTCTGTTATTGATGAATGTCCTGATATTTATATTTACACAGTGAAATGCCACAATGAAATTTTTTCTGTAATATCCCAGAATTTCCTTAACTGATACCCACAGTATTCAGCATGTTCATTATGTGTACGATTTTGACCAACTGTGTGTTCATGACTTTTAGTAATCCTCCCGAGTGGTCCAAACAAGTAGAGTAAGTATTTATCCTAACTACAGCTTGCCATTCACATCACAAAATCATAAATATACACATTCAATATATAAAGCAGATTTTAGTACCTTTTTCTTAATCCAGTTACTGCTGCTCTTTCCTTCAGGTATACCTTTACTGGAATTTATACGTTTGAATCAACTGTAAAAATCATTGCCCGTGGATTCTGTATAGATGACTTCACATTCCTTAGAGATCCATGGAACTGGCTGGATTTCATGGTCATCTCAATGGCGTAAGTATTCTGTCATTAATGTAATTATGAACCTAGTCTGATTTGTGAGCTATCGTTCGGTTAATATCAAAACATGAAAAACAAGTAATTTAACTGGTCAGGATTATTACATTCGCCTGAAACAATTTTCCTCCTCAGTCTTGTTTATAATGGATGATGAAAAGAAATACGGGTAAAGCTGCTTGTACACTGAGCTCTTGCTGTATGTGGGGGATGCAGACAACACATTTTCAGCTGTTATATTCTGTCTCTAACCATATGAACATTTTTTAGGTAGCATCTTTATGGATGTGGCAGCTCTGCTCATGTCGTGTCCAGTTTCTCACAGCTCTGCATTTGTCCTTGTGACTGTTTTTCTCCTCATCTCTCTGCTGTTCTGTGGATATACCTGGTTCTTGCACTGATCCAGAATACTCACTCTATTCTTCTCTTCTGAGAATTTTCATCGTTCAGATGTTCCTACCGATCAGTGTTTAGAGCCATTCACCAACAACACGACTCCTAGCAGCCCACGCAGAAAACTCTCTCTTTCTCTCTCACACACTGATTCTAGTTCTCATTCTCCATTTTCACTGTATCTGTTATTTATCTGTCATGTTTTCTGCATACAAACCTACGGTGCCCGGGAGGTGA